GCCACCTTAGGTGTACGTGGCTGGCGCCTTAGCCGGTTGAGCCACAGGTGCCAAGCCAGCTTTGCCTTTTAATGAGTTGGCCACAGGCTAGCATAGAAAGGCGTCAGCCTGACCCTGACTCAGTGGTTTTTTTCAGGTGTCTGTCTTCAAGAAAGCTGGTTACTGGTTGCATCCCTGCTGCCTGGCCTGGGGCACTTAGGCCAAAGCACTGCTCTCAGCATCCCTGGCCTGGGCCTCCAGCCTACACTCACTGCCTTTCACATTCCTGGTCCCAGAACCCTCAGTGAAGGAAACCTCTGGGCATAGTTAGTGAGGCTCCATCCTGCAGAGCTGTGGGTTGTGTGGCAAGGGCCTACCTCATGCCCAGAATACTCCTCAGTGGCCATCCCCCTGCCACCTCTTATCTGCTGGGTGTGTGTTATGAGCAGCTCAGTCTCACTGTCATTATAGTGAGGATTAGGGTGTAGATTAAATGAGATGACCACGCAGAGCCCTCAGCGCCTGCTTCCAGCACAAAGGCAGTACTCAGTATGAGTAATTGTAAGTAGTCGTCCTCACCTGCCTGTAGCTGAGCTGTCCCTGTGACATTACTGACATGTATAACCAGGGCCAGTAGTGGGGGCCAGGCACCTCCTCTCCTAAGGGAGCACTTGCCCTGACCCTGGTCTTCTGAAGAATTTTGTAGGTCTCAGGCAGCCCTCATGCTCTAAAATCCTCAGCCTAAACAGTCATACTATAGCTATAAATAAAAATTCTGGCTGCACAGAGAGCAGCACTTCAGGAGCAAAGCCAGACACCAGCCAGATCCTAAAATAAGCTCCAAGCAGTGGTGAGGCCGCCCTGCCTTGTCTCTGCCCCACAGATACTGTGAATTTAAAGGGCTGGAAGCCCCTCTGGGGAGTCAGTAGAGACTGGGGCTTGTTGAAAACGGTGTGATCAGAGCCCTGATGCAGCTGTAGACATCTACAGAACCCCCAGGGGCACAGAGTGTGCTTCATGGAGCTCAGAAAGCCTCCCTTTGCAGCTCCCTGCCCCACCCCCAAGGTATCTCTCTAGCTTGGCTCTTGTCCCAGCGTGACTACATAGCTTGCATACCAGAGCACTGGCTCAGAGCTGCAGAGGGAGGGAAGGAAGGGGGTCCTTTGTCCTAGAGGTGCGACTTCTTCCTTTCTCCTTGGTGGCTGGCCTCCTCCTTGGCGGCCCACACCCCTGCTGGCATTCCTGAGCCTCCTCCTCCAGTCTCTTGACCTGAACCCCAAGCGACAAGTGAAGCTCACTTCCTGCCCTGTCCATGCTCAAAAGTGGGCAGCTGCCATGAGTCAGACAATATTCTACGCACTTTGGCTGATAGTGGAATTGGCAAATAGTATCAGCCCCTATTGATTGTGCCACTCTGTTAGAATAGCTCTAGAGGGTGGGCTGAGAGCAAAACCTCTGAACCTGGTACATGTGCCCTGTGATCAGCTAGGAAGATACTTCCCAAACTTGATGTATTTTGCTGTGATGACACAAAACCATTTATGTGTGTATAGAAGAGGCGCTCAGCTGTTGCAGAGCAGGCTTAAGTGCTAAGTGAGTTTACATGGAGGCATCCGTGATGGCAATATCAAGGCTCCAGAAAGAGCTGGCACTGAATGAGAATTTTACACCAGGTGGTAGCGAGTAGGTATTTGGGCAAGTGACCAGCATCTGTTAGCAGATCTCATGGCAGCACCTGGGTGTTGGGGACAAGTGTCCAATAGATCTAAAAATCTGAACTCCTGCAGGGGACTGAAGCCACTGCCCAGAACAGTCACCTGGGCGTTCCCTAAAAGCAACCTCCTGTAGGGGTCTTGGGGGATCGGGAAAAATCCAAGCACAACACTCCCAGTACCCTGCCATCCCACCTCCTAGCCTACCCATTCCACTACCATCTTCTTTGTGGACCTTGACTGCCATGAGAGCTTCATTTGGGGTGAGCATCTTCCAGAGATAGGAGGGAGGACCCAGAAAGCCAGTGGACCCACTGCCACCCCAGGACGGCCCAGAGTGAATGCCCAGGCCCGCATCCCACATTGGGTAACTGCTGTGAAAGGCTCAAGTGATCCTGAGAGGGCTGACTGTGGGAGCAGCGTGTCTGGAGTGCTGGGCTGGGCACGTGCCTTTCTTACCCCTAGCTTCCCTAGAGAGAAGAACAAGAGCAGAGCTTCACTTAGAGCAGTTACCGAGGGTTCCGTGTGGGTTGGTCACATGTGTGGCCCTTCTGCTTTTTCCGTTTGGCTGTGGGCAGAGGTTGGCCCCGAGTCTATGAGTTAGAGAGGGAAATAAAATGAATAATAGTCAGTGCTGAGGGCAGTGCTGTGGGTCTGATAGAAACTGACAGCTCCCAGGAGCAAGAGAGTCTTGGCCTCACCAAGGAAGGAGGAAAAGGTTTAAACTCTGATAGGTGCAACTGAGAAGAGGCAGGGCTGTTCACACGGTGGACAGACACAGGGACTGCCCGGTCCCTTGAGTTACAGCAGCTTTTTGTCCAGGTTAAAGAGTAGCTTTGCAAAACTTCTTAAGGCTATAAGTGGCTTTGACTGCCTATTAATTTAAAACTTTTTTTATTTTTTTTGTATTTTTTGGCCAGGGCCAGGTTTGAACTCGCCTCCTCCAGTATATGGGGCTAACGCCCTACTCCTTTGAACCATAGGCACTGCCCAAAACTTCTTTTCTTTTTTTTTTTCTTCTTCTTTTTCCTTGTTTCTGTGGGTTCTGGAAATCTTGTGCCACCTAGAAAGCA